TAATTAAATATTTAATAATAAATTAATTTAATAATTTATTATTTCATAAATAAAAATTTAAAAAAATCTGATTTTGGTAGCTTTAAACTTGTGTTCTTATTTTTGAAATAGACTAAACTTATACTCTTGAATATGTAAGCTTCCCTTAAAAAAATTCAAAAATCAAGTATTTTATATTAAGCTCTTTTTTGAGACACATTATTTTTTTCATTCTTATTCTTCTACTAATTTTCAACCATACATTCTTCAATAAAATAATATTTTTCATCACATCAATAACTTTTCTTTCTTTTTCAACCACATATTCTCCATCACATCACTTCAAAAAATGCATTCTCTCATTTTAATATGCATCAAACACACTCTAAATAAAGTATTAAAGTGTCTCAAAAAAACCCTAACCTAACGTTTCATCCCTTGCTCGCATTCTCTCTATCAATTACCCTCCCACATCACTTCAACCCTTCATCCCTTCCGTTATCCCCTACTATCTCACAATTGTCACCAACCCCATGCACCAATGCAGTCTCCATCAATACCAATATCTCATAACCAAACCTGCAAAAATATCAAGCCCTTGCCATCATAAAAACCACCACCATAGTCATCAAAATTGATCGACACGCCCTATTCGATTTGCGCAATTTGTCATCACCATGACCATTTCCAGCACCAAAATCGAATATCACAACCATTAAAATTGCCACCCCACACCTGATCTTGCCACCATTGCAATTACAAAAACCTCAACTTTAGTAAGACAAAAGAACTTTCATTACTACATTGCCTCAGCTTTAGTAAGGCAAAAGCATTTTTAACTTTGTAAGAAATGAGCACCAATGCAACGGGCCTCTACGACAAGGTCTCAATATATAGTTTTTCCAAATCTTAACACTTTTCAAAGTCAAATATCTCATATAAATAATCAAGACCTTAAGACTTGAAAGAGTATTGTTATACATTTGCCTACGCAACAGACTATGTGGCTACTATCTAAGCAAAATGATACACGAGTATTTTCGAAGCAGTTGATAGAAGCATGTCACTTCCACTACCTTCATTTCCGAGGCGATGAAGGAACATTTCGTCACCTCGGCAACCATTATATTTTAGGCATTCAAAGCATAATCTAACTCCTCATCAACAAACGCCTCTAAGGCAATATAGCTCTTTGCAGAAGCATCACCTCCTAGGTCTGAGGCGATAAAGAAGAGACAACCCTTAGCTACATTAGTTGAGCTTTTGGTGTCCGAGGCGATTGTAGTCAATTCCAAAGCCTCATACAAGTTGTATTTTGATAACATGAAGTCACATGAGAAAGCGATTTATGTGACATCTTTACCAATAGTGGCAATAGTTAAATTCTCTCTTTTTGTCATGACGTCTGAGGGGTCACGAACACATGATGCCTGGGATGTGATAATATGAAATCATGGAGCTCAACAAGTGAGCCATTGGGATGAGACCATGTGTCAAATATCTGAAGAGCCTCAATTCACTTCTCTTGCCTAACACTCACACTTGGTGACTTGGTAAAGGTGATTAACATTTTTGTATTCTCACTTTAATTAATACAAATACCGACTCTTGTTTTTCTGCTTCATCTGTATCACTTTTTTGACTTAATTGAGCGTTCGCGGCCTCCCGTGTCCTTTTTTGTGTTCAAAGTAGGGGTGGACGCGGGTCGGTTCGGTTCGGTTCGGTTTTTTTCCGTTCCAGAAATTTTCGGGTATTTAGTAAATGGAACCGTCGGTTCCAAATATAATTTTGGAACCATTCGGTTTCGATTCGGTTCGATTCGGTTCTATTCGGTTCCGTTCGGTTCCGTACTATAATTAAATTTTTTAACATTTAAAATAATATTACATAAATATACCTTAAAGTGGATACCAATATTAATAACAAAAAGTAGATACAAATACCAAGTTCAATCTTAACTTTTACAAATTAACGTAATCTAATTTAATAACATATAAATAATAAGTTGTCAAATACAAATACCAAAAAGTAAATATTACTAATAAAACTTCGATATTCATATCAATAATTCATTTGCTTCAAACCTTCAAATCTACATAAAAGTGAAATATAAATTAGAAGTCACAAATATAAAATATTTTAAAGTATTGATAATACTTACCAACTATTTAATGTAATTATTAGTTGGTTGACTTTCCATACTAACTATTAAGAAACTATATAAGAAAAAATTGAAAAAAACACAACTAACAAATATAAATAAACTCTAAATTGTTCAACTAATAAGATTTAATAAGAAAAAAATTATTAATTTGTTTAGAAAAAATAAAAGAAATTAATTTATCCAATAAAAAAAAAAAAGTTCGGTTCTTATTCGGTTCTTCGGTTCTTGGTCGAGAACCGAGAACCGAACCAAACCATTCGGTTCTCGATTCGGATACCCGTTCGGGTATTTCATTTTAAAAAACCCGCTCGGTTCGATTCGGTTCGATTTCGGTTCAGTTCGGACATTTTGCCCAGCCCTAATTCAAAGAGGCCTTGATTTTCCACCTCTAACATGTGCTTTCCAAATGTGCAAGTAACTTACTCATGGGGGAGGCTGGGTACGGAATTAGTTGATAATCCTAACCAAATTTGAAGGTCAACAAATTCTCAATAAGTCAAATCATTCGATTTCGAGATATCTGAAGAGGTCAAAGAAGACTTCCTTAATCATGTTTTATTGTAAAATAAGTCAAATTTCATTTTTAAATTATTCATTATATTAAATATAGTTTTTACATTTGTAACTAATAAAACTTATTTTAGGACACTAATTTCTACTAAGTGTTAATATACTTTTTAAAACAATAACTTTTAAGCACTAGAACGTGTTCACCTAACCTTATATGTACAATATAAATAGGTTCTACATTTGGGATGCACTCGAGATAGGACCATTGTACTTTGTTTCGCGTAGGTTGTTGCTAACAATTAAAAAAAAAATTCAGACGATTGTGTAATGAACAAATCTCTTGAGACAAAATCCAAAAAGTGGTGCTTTATTGATGAGAATTACAATTGGAAATAAACAGAATGCCTCCAAAGGGTGCAAGCACACGAGTACTGAAAAGTGATAATTAAAGTTAATCTAAGAAATTGAAATTATATATTCTCTATTTGAAAGTATTTGATTCCGGGGGTATTCTCTATGTCTTTTCTTCCTTTTATATTCCCATGATAATTTTTTCTTGACAAATCGCTTGGAAACTGCTTGATTGCTTTCTAACTACCCACTTTTTTTATGGTGGCTAACTTGTCGTGGAACTGTCATCTCTAACTGCTGCAATTACTCTTTGTCGTTCAACCACCTTCAAATGGGCTCTTTAAATCGTGAAATTTGATAATCTGCTCGGATTCTGGACGTCTTGTAAGTTTGGGCAATGATGTTACTGTGTTCGTGAGCTTCCTCTGCATTCACCAATAATCTTATTTAGACATTTATCTTGAACTCTCCAATTGGGCTTTACTCTTTAGGTTACTTAATTTGGACTGTATTTTTAGTGTGTCAACATATTTTTACATTTAAAAAAAGAAAAAGAAAAAATTGTGTAAACACGTTTTTAATTACAAAATTGTTACGATTGCCCCGACTAAGCTTGGAATCATATAACCATTCGATTGAATTACAAGCTCAAACCTCTTTTAGGCTCCTAAATACGATTTGGTTAGAGTCAATTAATTTACATCTTTCATACAACTTGGTGTCACGTTAAATTCTTGTTTGACCACCATTTTTTAAAATTTATTTTTTTCTCAAACTTATTTTCAACCATATATTTTATAAGACTCACAACTTTTATCAACTTTTCAGCTATATATTTCATCGACTTTTATTAAAATTTAGTAAAACTTTAATTTTAATCCAAAGCAAACAGGTCAAGCCCCTGTTGAAGCTCATTATTTCATTAAAATGAGTTTTGTAATAGTGAATTGATGAAAATGTGTGATTTAAAAGTAGGAAAAATTTTGAGTTTACGTGCAAACTATTTTATTTTGTGAATCTGTAATTGAAATTGAATTTGATAAAAAATGAGTTTTGAAATAATGAGAATCAAACAAGGAAAAATTTTGAGTTTACGTACAAAATATTTTATTTTGTGAATCTGTAATTGAAATTGAATTTGATAAAAAATGAGTTTTGAAATAATGAGAATCAAACAAGGAAAAATTTTGAGTTTACGTACAAAATATTTTATTTTGTGAATCTGTAATTGAAATTGAATTTGATAAAAAATGAGTTTTGAAATAATGAGAATCAAACAAGGAAAAATTTTGAGTTTACGTACAAAATATTTTATTTTGTGAATCTGTAATTGAAATTGAATTTGATAAAAAATGAGTTTTGAAATAATGAGAATCAAACAAGGAAAAATTTTGAGTTTACGTACAAAATATTTTATTTTGTGAATCTGTAATTGAAATTGAATTTGATAAAAAATGAGTTTTGAAATAATGAGAATCAAACAAGGAAAAATTTTGAGTTTACGTACAAAATATTTTATTTTGTGAATCTGTAATTGAAATTGAATTTGATAAAAAATGAGTTTTGAAATAATGAGAATCAAACAAGGAAAAATTTTGAGTTTACGTACAAAATATTTTATTTTGTGAATCTGTAATTGAAATTGAATTTGATAAAAAATGAGTTTTGAAATAATGAGAATCAAACAAGGAAAAATTTTGAGTTTACGTACAAAATATTTTATTTTGTGAATCTGTAATTGAAATTGAATTTGATAAAAAATGAGTTTTGAAATAATGAGAATCAAACAAGGAAAAATTTTGAGTTTACGTACAAAATATTTTATTTTGTGAATCTGTAATTGAAATTGAATTTGATAAAAAATGAGTTTTGAAATAATGAGAATCAAACAAGGATCAAAAGTTCAAACCTTAAACATTGCAGCCACACATCAAGTCTTCGTAAATTAAGTGTATGTGAAAAGGGCATATTAGGCCCCTGTTTGAGCCATTTTTTGGCCAAAATATACTTGGAATAGTATTTTGTTGGAGGATGCGTAATTAAAAGATAAAGAAAATTTTTGGGTCTGTTTGTGAAATTATTTTATGAGGGAGAATGTGTGATTGAAAATGAATTTTTTTAAAAAAAATGAGTTTTTGAGAAAATGAAGACCAAACTTTCAGCAATTTTTGAATTCTTGTCCTTTTGCAAGGAAGAAAATATTCTAACTTCGATGAAACAATCAAAAAAACACATTCCGTCGTCGTTCCTAAGACACCATAGCATTAACGTGTCTCAATTTCATGATGAATGGTCCACATGATTTTGTTACATTCCTTACTACACCAAGTAGTTGTAAGGAAATAAACAAATAAAAAATTGTGTCAAGTAAATATAGTACTAACCATTATTTTGGCACGTTTAGCCTCAAATATGTACCTACCCACCTATTGAATTGGAGGGAATCAAGTGTACAACTACTCAGCTTCATTTGGAACTCAAATACTACCTACCCAAATTATTGAAAAATAAAATAAAAATAAAAAGGGGCACCTACCCACCAACAAATCTTAAATCTTGAAAAAGTACATCGGGGCGTGTGTTTGTTTGCCATGCAATACTGCTTATTTTTCCATTAAAAAAAGTGAAAAAATCATTCTCAAAACGTGTATGTCATTATTACAAGAATAGACATATAACACAAATCGAATACGACACGTCATAACATGGCTTCTAGATTATAGACCCCTTTATATAAAAATTAATAATAAAATGAGAAGGTAATGTCTTGATTGAGACTCGACTCATATTACACTCCTAATATACAATGGTGAGTAATATTTTACGATTACTGCATAAGTTTTTAAATCTTAACTTTTTTAGGGCTTTCATGATTTCTCATTCATAGCCATATAGATGTTAACATACCAATAAGGTAATTATATCATTGTCATAATTTTTGTTACATCCATCATAATTTAGTTGCAATGGTCGTCAATTTGTTATGATCGAATTCTTATCATTAACCTTCAATTGATTAATATATTTTGTCTCTAATAACGATTTTTGATCAAATATTTTGTACCCCGTACTTTGAAATGAGGGATAAATATTTGACGAACTTCTATTTTATTTTTTATTTTGCATATTTAAAAATGTGAGGGACCAATAAGTCTTTTTATGTATTTCTAATGAGTTTTTTGGACCAGAACCATCATATGAAACGATGTGCTAATAAAAGATTGAGGTTAGAGGGGCAAATAAGTCTTTTTATGTATTTCTAAATATATACAGAAATGATCTAATGAGCACCGGTGCTCATCTTATCCTAAACACCAATGAGTTGGCACATTAATTCATTGGTGGATTGGAACTCACAAAATCTTTATCCACCAATGAATTAATGTGCCAACTCATCGGTGCTTAGGATAAGATGAGCACCGGTGCTCATTAGATCATTTCTGTATATATATATATATATATAGTGTTAGGTGATTTTAGTGCAAAAAATTGAGGACTTTCATTGCAATTAAAATGTAAGACAGTTAATAAAAAAATGTGGTGTGACTATAATTTCTGTATAAATAATTACAATAAAATGAAAAGTTATTGATGTGATGGAAAATATTATTTTATTGAAAAATGTGTGATTGAAAATGAGTAGAAGAATGAAAATGAAAATTAATGTTGTTTAACACCAGTTTAAGTGAAAGCATTTGATATAATTTATTAAATATACGTTAAATTCATACATTTAATTGAACCTATAATTTAGAATAACAAGTCTTTCATCAACGGATCTTATTCTTAAATATGTTGTATCACGTTGAAATTGAACTCAACGTACTAATGAACACAACTTTCGAAAGCGAATCTTATACTTAAGGATGTTGTATCACGTTGAAATTGAACCCAACGTACTAATGACATAAAATAAAAAAGTTTCACTAAAATGTTTCTAAACAAAGCAATTTCTTGCTGTGGATTCCGTAAAGTGAAGAGTCACACTAAATGTTACTAAACGAAGCAATCCCTCATGGCCCTTCCCAACTAACATCAATACTAATCACGTGAATCATTGAATATCCCATGAATGAGAATGATAGATAATTTAATGAGTAATGTTATTCATCTTCAGTGGGGTTACAAACATAATTTATGTGGCTCTAAATGATAGCTTAAATGAAAGGTGAAATTAAATGACTTATTTAATTTCACCTATCATTTAATGTCACATTAACGTCACCAGACTGTGTGTTGTAACACCAGTGGGGATGAATATCATTACTCTAATTTAATAGGAAAGTAGCTTCAAAATGACAATCAACTTTTTGAAAAAATAAGTTAATTATCATTAATTATAGTCGCATAATCAATGCCATGCCATGTTTGATTTCATCTAATTGCACGATCATTAATGATTTGAGTGAAACAAAGTTTCATAAAGTTGAACTCAAATTGGCCACATGACAATTCAACAGAATTTCAAATGATTTTTTTGACGTTGCTTGGAAATTTTGCCAAATCACAGGGTTCACGATCCGTGTTACCTCGAAATCGATGAAGTTGAACTCATATTTGCCATGTGACAATTTAACGGAATTTCAAATGATTTTTTTTGACGTTGCTTGGAAATTTTGACAAATCACATGGTTCGCGATCCATGTTAACTTGAAATCGATGAATATTCATGCATATGGTGCTCGACGAGAAATTGAACTTTATCACGTGAATTGGTGCATTCAAGACACGACACATATGACTGCATAGTGACTATTGTTGCACTGCAAACTTCGACAGTATGTTCAATCTCCTCAACAACGCAGGCTACTTACCACGCGGACAAGTTGTGTTATTTTTATGTTAAACATGTTCTTTCCATGAACCTTAGTTTTTAATTTGTTCACATTGATCTACACCTACCCCCCACCCCTACCCCTACCCACCCAGAACCCAACGCCCCATCTCAGTAGCCCATAAGAACCACCAACCCGTCAAAGGTTAAATCAGTCATTTAATACCGCCCGAATCCGTTAGCCTGCCTGTAACTAAAATAATAAATAAATGAAAAAATAAAGAAAAAAAATTGCAAGAATTTGAGTCTGATTCTATGTATGTGTATATATATGGGGAGGAAATGTTGTCGTCTCTCCTCACATCTCGCCGCTGAGTCATTCTTCTTCCTTCATTAATTGCTCCGAAGCATTTTCCTCTCTGTTTCTTTCTCTAGAAAGAAAATTTCTGGTGTGCTTGGTGGATTTTGATCTGAAATCTGAATTATCGAAAAAATGTAAGTGATGAAATGATCCCCTTTTTATTTAATTTGAGCTTAATATTTACTTTTATGATCTGGGTTTCTTTTAATTATGTTGGATCAATTACCATTTCGCGTGTTAATTTAATGTCATCAAGTGGCCATTGCTTCATTTCTATCTAATTTCAGCATAACATTTAGTTTTGTTTATGTTAATTATGTTGGATCTGTTGTTAATGTGTATTTAGTTACTAGTAAATGGCCATTTTTCAAATAATCCAGATCTGTATTTGCATATAACCGTGTGTCAATATGTTTGAACTCGCTCTGTGTACGCTTATGTATATCTGATCGGATCTGAAAGTATTGAGTTGATCTGCATTGAAACGTTGGATGCTGGTGCTGTTTAATGAATTCTAATCAATTTTTTTTTATTGAGATTAATTATATACAGGAGCAAACATATCATTTTTAACCATTTTCCAATTTGGTGCAATTGTTGATGGTGAATCTTTCTTGTTCTTGTGACTATCACTAATGAATCTTGTTCTTTTGTATTAATAACTTCGACGTTTGGTGTTTATTAATCTCTCATTTCTTATTCAAGATTCATTGACTCTCCATATAAAGAGAAAAATATTGACTTTCGTGCAATCCTTTCTTTCCTTTTGTGTGCGCCGTTAACAACTATAGATTATCGCTGGCTTATATATTAAGATTCTTGTTGTATTAGTTTATTCATAAAACACTGTTTAGAATTTTACGTTGATTCCATCTTTTATTCCATCTTTTTTTTATAATTTTCTTCTTTGTTTCTACTTGTAGATATTGAGCAATAATGGCGACATACACCCCAAAGAATATCCTCATTACTGGTGCTGCTGGATTTATTGCATCTCATGTTGCAAATAGGCTTATCAGAAACTATCCTGACTACAAGATTGTTGTGCTAGACAAGCTTGATTACTGTTCTAATCTCAAGAACCTTCTTCCCTCCAAATCTTCGGCTAATTTCAAGTTTGTTAAGGGGGATATCGGTAGTGCTGATCTTGTCAATTACCTTCTTATTACTGAGAACATTGACACAATAATGCACTTTGCAGCCCAGACCCATGTTGATAATTCTTTTGGTAACAGTTTTGAGTTCACCAAGAACAACATTTATGGCACCCATGTCCTATTAGAGGCCTGCAAAGTTACTGGACAAATCAAAAGATTTATCCATGTAAGCACAGATGAGGTCTATGGAGAGACTGATGAGGATGCTGTTGTGGGAAATCACGAGGCGTCTCAACTCCTGCCCACAAACCCATATTCAGCTACAAAAGCTGGGGCAGAAATGCTTGTTATGGCTTATGGTAGATCTTATGGGTTGCCGGTGATAACCACCCGAGGAAACAATGTTTATGGTCCAAATCAGTTTCCCGAAAAGTTAATTCCCAAGTTCATCCTTTTAGCCATGAGAGGGCAGCCTCTTCCTATCCATGGAGATGGTTCTAATGTGCGAAGTTATCTCTATTGTGAAGATGTTGCTGAGGCATTTGAATGCGTTCTTCACAAGGGAGAAGTTGGTCATGTTTACAACATTGGAACAAAGAAGGAGAGGAGAGTCATTGATGTTGCGAAAGACATATGCAATTTGTTTAACATGGATCCAGACAAAAGCATTCAGTTTGTGGATAACAGGCCGTTCAATGATCAGAGGTACTTCCTTGATGATCAGAAGCTTAAGAATTTGGGTTGGTTTGAGAGGACTACATGGAACGAAGGTTTGAGAAAGACCATGGAGTGGTATACCAGTAATCCTGATTGGTGGGGTGATGTATCTGGAGCACTGGTTCCTCATCCTAGAATGCTCATGATGCCCGGGGGAGTTGAAAGACTTGATGGAGCTGACAAGGACAAGTCTAAAAAGTCTGAATTCTCAGGCAAGTCTAACGAGAGCCACATGGTGGTTCCTGCCTCCAAAAACAATACTACTCAAAAACCACCATTCAAGTTCTTGATCTATGGTAGGACTGGGTGGATTGGCGGTTTGCTCGGAAAATTATGTGAGAAACAGGGTATTCCATACGAGTATGGAAAGGGACGCCTGCAGGATCGCTCACAATTGGTGGCAGATATCCTCAGTGTTAAGCCAACTCATGTTTTTAATGCTGCTGGTGTGACTGGTAGACCCAATGTTGATTGGTGCGAGAGTCACAAGGCAGAAACAATTCGCACCAATGTTGCCGGTACACTTACCTTAGCTGATGTATGCAGAGAGCATGGACTCCTGATGATGAACTTTGCCACAGGGTGTATATTTGAATATAATGCTTCGCACCCTGAAGGTTCTGGGATCGGGTTTAAGGAGGAAGACACACCCAATTTCATCGGTTCCTATTATTCAAAAACAAAGGCCATGGTATTTCTCACTCCTTATAAAACGTTTTTATGTGCTTTTGTGTATCTATTGATTTTTATAGGCCTTAAAAGCTTTACGCACTAGTGTGATTTGTCAATATGTTCTATTTGGCTTGTCAAATCAGGTGGAAGAGCTCTTGAAAGAATATGACAACGTCTGCACACTCAGAGTTCGAATGCCTATATCTTCTGACCTTAACAACCCACGGAATTTCATTACTAAGATTTCCAAGTACAACAAGGTGGTTAATATTCCCAACAGCATGACCATCTTGGACGAGCTTCTTCCAATTTCAATTGAGCTGGCAAAGCGGAACCTCAGAGGCATTTGGAACTTCACAAACCCTGGCGTTGTGAGCCACAACGAAATTTTGGAGATGTACAAGAAGTACATTGATCCAGAGTTCAAATGGGTTAACTTCACACTCGAAGAACAAGCTAAGGTGATTATTGCTCCTCGAAGTAACAATGAGTTGGACGCCTCCAAGTTGAAGAAAGAGTTCCCCGGTCTGCTCTCAATCAAGGAGTCGTTGATCAAGTATGTTTTCGAACCCAACAAGAAAACCCCTTCTGCTGCTTAAGTATTTTAGATTGTCGATTCGAATGCTAAAATTGGATTTTGTATAAGGTGATTGGTGAAGGTACCTTTGTATTTTTAGTCTGTTTAGTCATAATCTTTGCTCGGTTGCAGCTCATTTTTAGAATAATTTTACATTTTCATAAACTGGGATAGTGGCAAATGATGGTTCTATATGTCATATTCTTCTTTGAATCACTTCTTAGATTGTTATGAAGAGAGCACCATAATGAGGTGAGGTGTAATATTTAAAATTTATAAAGTTATATTTTTGGTGTTTGATACTGTATATGTTACTGAAAATTTTGGGCGAGCTTATTAATTTTAACTCTTATTTCACGAAAATTTCAAGTTCACGAAGTAAATTGGCAAATTTTGACGTCAACAGTTTCAATCAATGTATTTTTCACAATTATTTTAGGCTAACTGTAATAAGTAAAACCTGAAGTGTTCACATGAATTCCATCCTTGTACACCTTAAGAATAACATTTGTGTCTTTAACCCCAAATATAATACAAACAACTTAGATAAGAGAGAATTGTTTTGTTTTTTCATGCAGGCAGAGACATACATTGGTTTCATAATAATAATAACATAAAATATTGCTAAGAACTGTAAAATAAACGTGCATATTTGTGATTTTTTTTATGTGAGAAATTTTTTATATTGAATTTTTAATTTTTGCATTAAATTCATGAATTTATTATTATTATTTTTGCTTACTTTAGCAAAATGTGAAATGCACCTGATAATGAAAATTCTATATTTGCATGAAAGTTTACAAATAAAAAGAGTCGATCAAATCTTATATTCACAGTGAAACTAAAAATCTTGTCTGTTAAATGACCGATTAAGTTTCTAAGATATGAAACCAACCCCTAATGTTGTCTATGATAGTAGTGGCAAATTTAGGATGGATAATAATAAATGTACATCGTACATAAGGGTGTCCATATGTACTCTTCGATGGTCAACATCCGTAATGGTGAGATCGTTTATTAATATTTAATATGATATTAAAATTCTTCAATCTATATGTAAATACTCTAAAACTCAATGTGTGATTTCTTTATTTTCCTGAAAATAAATGAATCTGCTTTATAATATGTTGACTAGATGGTAAAATGCTCCAAAAATGTTTTACCCATTTTGACAATATAAAATTCGAGTCCATGTTGTGTTGTGCCGACACGGTTAACAACAAGATGATTAAAATGTCGAAGTAATAGATTTAATGAATCAAACATGGAAACATGTAGAATTGCATGCAATTCTTCCAGAGTGATATACACAAATGGGAGATTCTACTGAGGTTTTGTACCCTGACTTGATCACTCCAAAATGATGTTATTTACCAATCACAAACATCCCATAGGACGAATTCTTTTTGCCAAACATTTTAATAAATAAATAAAATTATAATATTTTGAGAAGATCCTCTTTAAACTCTTGTCGTATTCCTTTTCTCTCTCTTCAATTCCTACATTCTTCTAACAAAAATATTCATTGAATCAAGCAAAAAAATATTTCACCACTTCTACTAAGTGCGAAAGAAAAAATTAAAGGGCTGTTCTCTTTGCCGTTTTCATCCCGTTTTCTATTTTCAATTTTTCAAAACAATGAAAACATGTTTATTTACCTATTTTCAAAAACGAATTTCTGAAAACGAGTTTAAAATTTACAAAGAAAATCGAAAACATCAAAAACATCATTTTGGGTGTTTTTAGTTGAAAGCAAGCCAAAATTTTCAAAACACATTTTGGCTGTTTTCAGTTACACTACCAACAAAAACCACCATTATCGTCGCCTGCACCACGCTGCCGCTGCGCCGCCCCGCCCCGCCAAAACCACCACCGACAACGTCGCAACCCACCACCACAACCACAGAATTCCCGATAGACACAGCACCGATGGCGGAACCCTAATCCTTCACTAGCAAAAACACGATTCTAGCCAAAAACTCACAACAACAAGAAGAAGACAACATTCCCAAAATAATCTCTTTTTATCTTTTGTGTCGAACATACTTCACTTATTCAAGTTGCCTGCACCCAAGAAGAACGGTTCTATTACTAATAATGTTTCAGAATCCGACCCGAGTGAAATCAGGGCATCTCTGAGCGAAACTGTGGTGGAAGATGAAAGTAAACATGTTGTTGTGAAGTTCTCAAGGCAGAGCTTGGCTCCAATGAAGATCGAAGGAGAAGTTGAAGGGGGGTGAAGAGAGAGAGAAGGGAAGGGGGGGAGAGAAGAGAATGGGGTTTCCAATTTTTTGTTTTTGAAAATAATTTTTCAAAATGAAAAAAAGAACACATTTTCAACAATCTCAAAATAGACTCTCAAAACACAAAATTCAAAATGAATTCAAAACTCAAAATTGAAATACGAAGAGAACAGCCCCTAAGTTTTTGGCATTAGCAATTATATATCTAATATGGCACTATAGTAGACTATTTAAAACTCAACACATCCTACTTTGGAGCTGTTATATATGAGCTTTGCATTAGAATACAAGCCAATAGGTAGAATTGAGTTGTGAACATGGACATAAAAACATAATGAAATCAAAAGAGCACAACATAATGCTTTATTGTTGAAATGGAATAGAACCAGACTCTAAGATAAATACCGTGGAAGGCTCTATTGCAGTTTACAATTTCACACTTATAATCAGTTAAACTCACACTCTTTATACCAAGTTCATCATCTATGTCAAAACCAACAAATTAAATACAGGAGAGAGAGAAAAATTGCCCTCAAATACAAATCATATATTATTAGTCATTAATCAACAAATGAATTAAATTAACAAATCACATTCATAGGACTCATAACTAAAAAAAAACACAAATTATAACTCTAAACTCATTACTCATAAATGATAAATCAACAAATGAACTAAATGAACAAAAATAAAACACACACACAAAAAAGAGCCACATGAGGGGCTCACAGTCCGAGACCGGAGAGGCCAGCGTCGGGGTTACTAGCTGACAACAGCAGGAGGGAGGAAGCCGGAAGGGTTTGCATCAATTTGGAAATTGGAATATTGAATTGTTATTGTGGGTAATGGATTTGGACCATGTTGTAATTGATTTTCAATTGAACTCCATGGATTGGGTTTGGGCGCCCCAGGTGCAATTTTTCTTTCACCTATCTGGCTGGCGGCTCCCAACCGTAGCTGTAACTTTCGACGGATCCAACACCCGCGGCCGCACCCCCTCGCCGAGTACTGGATCTGCCACCACCCGAGGTACATCGTGACAAAGTATGGCTAAGAAAATCGCACTTACTAACACTATGTACCATTTAT